TAGAAAAATAACATAAAGTACAGCATTTTCCTCTAAAACTAAAAAGGCGATTTTGTAATACTTACCTAAATACTACCAAAAAAAAAAAAAAACCAACAAAAAAAACCCCCCAAACCAACAAACCAACCAACAAACCAAAAAAACCCAACCAACAAACCAAGAGCAAAATTCAGGGCTGCATCACCAGCAATGCTTCAGACTAAAAAAAAAAAAAAAAGCATTGTGACTTTAAAGACAGATTAAGCACTAGATTTTAAATGGCATTAAGAAATACATTTAGCTGTTAAATGAATGATAAACAGCTGCCTTAATGGTAGCTCAAGACCCACACACTGGGCTGCCCCTGGGGAATTTTCTCTGCAGTATTCAGAAAAGAGCAATCGGAGTTTGTTACTGAGAGCAGCACCGACCCCGGAACATGTCATCAAGTCATTCCCGCTGGAAAAAGGCCCAAACGTGACAGCTGGCATGGATGTGTCCATGGATGAGGTAGACTGGCGGTAGCAAAGAAAATGCTGGGGGGGTTAAGCAGCATAGCAGCTCAGTGTTAAGCAGGAAAACTGGGAATTCAAATACCTGCAGGATGGAAACGCCTCCCCAGGAACACTGATGGAGAGGCTCAACATTCAGTTTAGCCAGGTATAACCTGGTATTTTAGTACACAGGTGTGTCTAAAATATCAAACAAATGGACAGGAAACGGGTTCAGGGGAAGGTTTTACTTTTATTTAACTCGAAGGCTGAATATGTGAAAATTGGGGGAAATGTCACATGTGAGAAAGGAAACAACACATTTCTGCGTTAGCCAGGTTTATTTTTAAATGCCTGTTGTCTGATAGGAGTCAGGGACTTGAAAAGTTAAGGGAAGCCCTGGGGTAGATAAAACAAAGAGCAGAGAATAGACAAGACAATAAAACTTCAAGAAAAAAAAATAATTTACAGTTTGGCTTTACAACTTACCACATACATAGCACATTCACGCAAATGTAAATTCATTGACATCACTTAGCAATCAGAACAGATCCAAATACCACGATACACCACCAGCGCAGCAACAAACCATTTGTCTGGCTATTTATACATGACCTCAAAAACGCACATAAAAAATGCACTGTGAAAAGGTAAAAACCAGAAGTATTTTATTAACTTTTCAAATCTAAATGTGAACTTCAGACGTGCTTCTCAAGCTTACAGGGATATTCAATTAGGAACATGCGCTTTCTGTATTAATTAAGCTCGAAAGAGACGATAGTGATCCGAGTATGAACTATTAATTTCTAGAAGATAATTCTTGCGGTTGTCTTTTTCCTAATTGTCTATAAAACTGTGGCAAGGAGACAGCTTTTAGACAAAAGTCATAACTGTTCTTTATCTTTCTTAGCCAGTGACTTCAAAGAGCAAGCGAGGATGGCAACAGCGTTATGACAGCTCTGCCCTGACATTTCCCATAATTGCTGGAGGCCAAGGTGCATCCAGCTGATTGCTTTTGGCACGCTGCAACCATGCTGCAAGAACCAGAGGAAAAGAGCAGTTCTCCCCTGGGAAGGTGGTCAACCACCTCCAGACCCTGGGAAGGTACCTACATACAGGCACACGCACAGTGTCCTCTTCCCCTGAAAAGACACTTCCCTGTGGTCCACGAGGACAGATTTGGGGACAGTCCTCAAGCTTTAGTTTGTCACCCTGCCCCACAGAGCTGATACGAGAGTGACAGAAAGAAGCTCAGCAAAGCCAAAACCACCGCAGCCAAATTGTTGTATTCAGTCCCAACGCCCTCATTTGTCACATCCCAGCTCTGCCAGCTTCTCCAACTCTGCCAGAAACCTCATGAAGTTCAACAAGGAGACGTGCAAAGTCCTGTACCTAAGGAGTTACAACCCCATGTACCAATATATGCTGGGGGCCACCCAGAAAAGTGGCTTAGCAGAACAGGACCCAGGGGTCCTGGTGGACCAGGTTGAACATGAGCCAGAAACGTGCCTGTGCTGCAAAGGCAGCAAATGGTATCCTTGGCTGCATTAGACAAAGTATTGCCAGCAGGTCAAGGAGGTGATCCTTCCCCTCTACTCAGCACTGGTGAGGCCAGTACCTGGAGTGCTGTGTCCAATTCTGGGCTCGCCATTACAAAAGAGACATGGACGTACTGGAGAGAGTCCATCAAAGGGCCATGAAGATGATTAAGGGACGGAAGCATGTCTCCTCTGAGGAAAGGCTGAGAGCTGGGACTGTTCAGCCTGGAGAAGAAAAGGCTCAGGGGGGAGGGCAGATCTTATTAATGTATATAAATACCCGAAGGGAGGGTGCTAAGAGTCAGAGCCAGGCTCTTTTTGCTTGGTGCCTGGTGACAGGACCAGAGGCAATCGGCACAAAATTAAACACAGGAGATTCCACCTGAACATCAGGAAACACTGCTTTACTGTGAGGGTGACCAAGCGCTAGCACAGGTTGTCCGGAGATGTTGTAGAGCCTCCATCCTTGGAGATATTCAAAAGCTGTATGGACACCATCCTGGGCAACTGGTCACAGGGGACCCTGCTTGAGCAGGGGGCTTGGACAGCATGACCTCCAGAGGTCCCTTCCAACCTCAACCATTCTGTGATTCTGCGACCTTTCTGATGGCTGATGGTTAATGGCAGGGGTAGGTTAACAGTTGGACCTGATGATCTGAAAGATCTTTTCCAACCTAAACGATTCTACAATTCAAGGTTTACTTTATTTTCTGAGGTTTAGGGCACCAAACTGTACAGTGATTAGATGAGTATTTAGAGAAGAGTCAGGGGCTGGCAATGACAGGAGATGGCTTCATGTGCTCTCCAGCAATCCTTTCCTGTGGTGCTTCACAGGCCAAGAGATCCCACTTGCAAAAACATGGGTTTTAAAAATGCCTCTCCTCTTAGAAAATCAAAACTGGTCAGAAACCCCTTGTCATCATCTTATATAAGAAAAACACCCGTTCCACATTAACCACAAATACAGAAAGCCTGGGGAAGTTGGGAAAGATGTACCACAAGGAGGTGGAGGAGTAAGACATGTACCAAACAACAGCAATCCTTTAGCTGTAAAAATAAAAAGAAAGGGAGAACTATGACTTTTTCAAATACTCCTTTTCCACCTTGGTGAGATCGTCAATGTCATGTGAAAGAAAGAAGCCACACATTTTAGCATTCAGGGTTACCTCTCTGCTCATCTGGTCTGACCTCTTCTTTTCATGGGGCAAACCATTTCATCATGTCCTTTCTCCACCAAGACCAAAGCTTTGCTTTGTGCTAGAGCAGACCTTTTGCAAAAACCCTTCCAGCCTCATTTAGAGGCTTCACATTTTCACATTTCTTTCAGCCCTGTGAAGCCCGTGATTCTGGACTTTGGGAGTACAGAATGCGCCAACATGACTTTTTTCTAATGCAGCACAAAGTCCAGCATTATTCTACCTGCTCCAATCTATCTATCTGCAATAGTGTAAAAAAGTTCCATGTTCTTTTGTTTCCTATTTACAACCCAACAATTAAAAACATAGCAACAGCAAGATGCTGGGGTATGAGTGGGAAGGTGAAAATGCATACAGGCTGCCTCGTGTCTGAAATAATCTTTACAGGGTACATTTCTCTGTTTCTTGACCTTGTTGTAGACTAGATAAGTTCAGAATTATATTTAAAAGTAATGTGTATATTTAAATAGACCAGGCAAAATTTGCATAGCTGCCTGCTGCTGTCAATGTTTCTTCAAATGATTCTCTCCTTTCTTTTCCTCTATAGACAGAGACTTGAAAAGAATGATAATTTTATCCCATGTATTAGTGACCGCCTGTCCTCACAGATATTTTCAGTCTGGAAGGAGTAAAGGAACGGCACAAATAGCAGGTGCAAGAGGGGAAAAAAAAAAATCTTACTCGTGAGAAAAAACAACACTTCTGATGCTCTCTTCAGCTCAGTTGGATTGTGCCTTTCTTCCACAGCTCCACTTGAAAAATAATGCTCTGAACTTGCACCATTGCACTCAAATTCTTAGGAACAAAGGCAACACCATCAGATCACATATCAGATCAGGCCAGCAGCTGCTTCTCCTCACAAGAAGTTAAACTGAGTATATCAGAGGAAAATGTTAACTACCTCAAATGGAAAATTCTGGAATAACGTAACCATAAAATGATCATTTCCCTTGGTTCTCTTTAATTACTTTCTGATTCATGGACAAAACCAGAAGAATTCATTCCCCTGCTTTAAAAAATACCCCCTTTTGATCTGCATTCATTCTCATGATCCAAAACAAGGGTCTGTTCTTAAACAGGAGCCTAGCAAAATATTTCCCTGTTCCTATCCATTACTCAAATACAAATTTTTGCATTCTCAAGTTGAAGACACAAGTTTAACAACTCCATACAGTTATGAAAACAGGACATGAAGAAGGCAAGCATGCTGATAGACATGAACTAAATTAGTCTCTGCTTTGGCCCAGCTGCAATTCTGTCCTTCCAAGCATGCAACTTTCTTCCTCCTCCATGTGTTTTAGTCACAATTAAATACTTTACATCTGCAAAATATTTCCACGTCTCTTGC